GCCACCCTGATGGCATCCAGACCACCAGGCAAGAAGACAGGCAGAAACAAACATAGGTTTCTGCTTCCAATAAATAGATGTATTTACAATGACTAAGGCACTAATGTTCAGAAAATATAGTTGCAATATGATTTGCGTTCGTGAATTTATAACTTGATCGCATCTCATTTGAATGATACTAGGGCTTTGTAAGTTATATGCAACGCCATAGAGTGTTTCTGTGGGAAATGTGGTCTGTCTGCCTCTACAATAGCAAAATGTCTGACAAATGTGTTACTGGAAAGCTCATCTCTCAATGCTAATTTTCAAAGCTGATTTAACTGTTAATAGTTTTCGGATTTGTTGTGTTCTAACCTTACTGCTCTGGGACAATTTTAGCCTTCCTCCCATTTGAACTTTCATTTTGTTCTCTGAGATTCCATCTTAAATGGCAGTGCTTGACCTCAGCCGTGGAAAAAGCAAGGCTTTGATTAGTTAAGCTGAAAGGAATCCACGAGGGCTGTGTTTTTGTTAGGCACAGACAGAACAGCTAGCAGTTAATGGAACGCTCCAAACTGCAGCTAACAAATGACTGCTGTACGGAGAGCTAACTCAGAGTTTCCACTGCCTTCCTGACAGGCGAAGTTTCCTCTCTGAAAAATTTTGGATATAAAAATATGCAATGTAACTATTTCTTTTCTAACCCGCAAAATAATGACACCAAGCTTTTCTTCCTAAGAAACAGAATGAAACATTGTCTAAGAATCAATTCACCCACATTTCCAAAAAGTTACAGTGGACCACAGCTTTACAAGTGTCACCCAGGTCCCGCAAAAGCAAGCTTATCTTTCGTCTTCCCAGCTCTGACTTGCAAGCTACCCATTTTAATGGCTTCAAGGTGGAGCTATGACTTCTGTCACAAACTAAAAGAACTACCTAGGAACCAGACACCACAGAGCTTCGTCCTCAGTGGATACCACAGAGCTTCGTTCGGTAGGTGGCAGTCTTTTCTGAGTTACCACCCCAGGCCTGGGCTGGGCCTGTAGATACGAAACAGGCCTTTCTGAAGAGCTGGCTGTCTTTTAACCTCTACTACAGTGTTGGGCAAATCCTTTAAAAAAGAAACCTCTGGGAAAGATCCTAACACAAGAGTCGGCATTCATTAATGGATCTTTGCTCTCCTCTCTCCCAGCATGGTTTCAGAAGATTGGCAGCGGGCTTCTACAACGCTCAGGCAGCCCATCCTCAATCTAAGCAGAATGTCCCTCAGATCACTAACAGGCCTTTAACCCCTCAGAATGAGCACTGTGGGGGTGCTGAGGAAATTCAAGGGGTCACAAATAGAAACAACAAAAGTGTGTATCAATGGTACTTTATTTACTTGTGGTGTACATTGTCACGGAAGGGATGATAATTCCTGGTTAAGTCATTAGCTTCTGAGCCTTTTGCATAATAAACCAGATCAATCTGTTAAAAGTTGTGTATTAAATAGAAAAAAAAAAAACCTACCTTAAAAAAAAAAAAACCTTTATGGAGTTTGGAAAGTTTGGAATCTCTCTTTTATCCAATCTGTTAAAAGTTGTGTATTAAATAGAAAAAAAAAAAAACCTACCTTAAAAAAAAAAACCTTTATGGAGTTTGGAAAGTTTGGAATCTCTCTTTTATTGACAAATATTTACAAAAATAAGAAAATTCAGATACTCAGTTTATGGTTTTTATTCTCAAATAACTTAACATTTCTTCAAATTTCCATTCCTGTATTAACCCTATCCTTCCCAGTTTCTAATCTATACTAACACACTGTCAGTTACATGGCTGACATTGAGATATGTACATAATTTACAATGTTCTAACAAAATATTTTCTCTTGTTAGAACTACCCTTATTTCCAATGACTTTATGAAATATTTTATTCCATTAGTTTGGTATATTTAATAATTGGGACAACACAAATCAGAGAAAACTAAAATGTTATTATTAGTTATAACTTTCCTTTTGAACATAAAGGGAAATAGACTCACAAAACATGAAATAAGAATCCATTCTCCAAATTATTTGCAGTTTTGAAATCCCAAATCAGTTAATGGTTCACAGTTAATTTTTGTGAAATTATCAGCATAGCAAAATGTGGAAGGTTAAATATTAGAGGACATTTAATTATAATAATTTCTGTCCCTACCCTAACAGAACAATATTATTAATATCCATATATGGGCCTATAGTCAGCAAAATACTAATGTTAAGTGAGGATGATAACCCATGGGTAGGGAAAATACATTTAAAAAGTCATACTATGAATTTGAATCACATATAGCTTTTCTATGGCCACTTGGGAGATTGAAACTAGGGTGGAATATCTAATGGACAAGCTCTCAATCACTGACCTGCATTCTCAGCCTTCCTTAAAGTTATTATTTTGAGACAGTTTCACTGCAGTCCTCAAGCTGACCTTGAACTCACCCTGTACCCTAGGCAGATTTTGGACTTGTATTCTCCTACCCTCAATCTCCCAAGTAGCTGGGATTACAGGTCGGTGCAACCATGCCTGCCTGGAAAATGTGATAACTTTAACACTCATTTTCAACATGTCTTATAATATTGTTACCAGTTTGTGAGTATGTCTGGCAACATTTCATCATCTATATTTCTTTAACTTATAAAAATGCAATGCTTAATTTTTAAAAGTCACACACACACACACACACACACACACACACACACACACACACTATACGTAAGACACACACACACACACAGACAGACCTCATCCTAAAATACCAATCCTGTGGTGCAATCGTCATGTTGGCACTGGTTATGTAAATGGTGTCCCTGCCTGTCAGCCACTAGGTGGCGTGTTTTAGCACTTAAAAATCTGGCATGCTTATAAACCACAGGAAATGTAAAACAGACCACGTTTTTCCATAGCTGGAATCAGATGCATGAATAAAGAAAGATTTGCACAGATCTGTAAAAAGACAAAACTCCTTTTGGAGACATGTCTTATCCTCCTGAAAACTCCCACGAGTCGATTACAGGTTAGTGTCCTTCAGCTCTATATTCCTGGGATTTCTAGAGGACATGGGAGATAACCCATTGTGATTCTGTGAATATTCCCAGTGTGCTGAACAGATGTCACCTCCTGTAGCCTCCCCAAAGTTAACCATCCAGCAGGATTTTCGCTAAAAACCTACAAGAAATGTGAAATTCAAGCTCTTAGATCCCTTTCATTTTTCTTTGAGTTTTAATGACGAGAGCGTAAGGCTGGAAGCAAATGAACCTACAAAGATGTTAAAATGGTGATGTTGGATTGGGAAGACACATACCCACTGTGTCTACACTATTTCTTATATTCCTATAACTGTTAGGTAGCTACAAATACTATGTGTATATTTTGAATTTAAGTCCCAAAGGTGCATAGTCTTTTCAAAAAATGAGTTTCTGTGATTCTTCTCCTAGAAATGCAAAGATAATTATTGGGAAGCTTGGGGATTGACATTCTTTTGGTCCATGTCTTTTGGTTTACTAGGGAAAGCATCGAGATTGTTGCACCTTCCAGGAGGGCAGGATGGGGAGAGAAAGTGAAGACAGAAAGGTAAAGGAGAAGTGAGCCTCCAAAGGAAAAAAAAAAAGTGTGAGGAAGGAAGGGGAGAAAATGAGAACAGAGAAGGAAGCAGAAGGGAGACACACTGGGCTCAGGAGGGTGTGGCAGGAGAAGGGATGGATGAGGAAGTGTGGAGGGGAGGTGGATAAGCTCAGGATGGGGGTGGGGTGATGAGTGAGGAAGGAAAACTGGGAGGGGAGTTCCTTTGGAGCCAAAAGGGGTGGGGGATGAAGAGGGAGAAGGCAGGGGCTGGGGGTGGGCTAAGGGGAAGAGAAAACTAAGGAACAAGAAATCTGGGTGTTCCTTTTCTGTTGTAACCAAGGACTGAAAATACATAAATGTCATCGGGTATATCCCCCCACCTATTCTTGAATGTATAATTTGTGAAGATAACAAAGATACTGATATTACAGACAGTGAAAAACCTAATATTCATGAAAATTTTGCCAAAACTAAAGGTTTAAATACAAATAAGTTTGATAGTGTATGTTTTAAAAGCGCTAATATAGTTAAGATTTGCAACACAAGTATTTTAAGGAAAGTATCCACCCCAGTTTTTCATGATGTTGAGGAACATATACATTTGTAAAAATATTTAAATAAATAAGGAGAAAATTGCCTTTAATTTTCAGCACAAGAAAGTAAAGATCATTCTATTTGCTTACCAAAAATATATCAGGTAAGCTTTTATGAACAAAACTAGTATCTTTACCTTGTTTGTAGGAAAGCAAAAAAGAGTCCTTTTAAAACATTTTCTCTCCAGTAGTGGAAATCCAGCTAAGCAGAACACGTGGAACACAAAACAACCTTCAGCAAAACTCTGAGGAAGTATGGATTAATCGGCTATGCACATTCTTAGAATGCAATAAAAACAGAAACAATGACATGTTTTCAGCAGCCTGGGTTCATTTCAGGAATGTCCATACATACTCCAGTGTTACCATTTACAGAAATACATAAAGAGATTCTGTTGTTCTTCTAGTATCTTCTTCTGTGCTATTCCTAACAGATTTAATGCATTATTTTATTGGGAAAACAAGGCTAATATCCCAACCTTGCAAAGAGAACAGCGTACAAAGGAGAACATGAAATTATTACAAGAGACCAATAAATTCCAGATGGCTTGGGAGCATTCCAAGATGTTCACAATACAAGAGGGGAGTGCTTTAAAGCTATTTTTCTTTTTAAAAAAAGGTGAACATGAAAACAAATTAATTAAGCACACTTTTATCTTAAACAACTAGGGAATTTTCACACATACATATGCACTATTTTTTTTATAAATAAACATAGAAAGCTAAATTATGGTTAGAGAAGCATTCCACAGTCAAAGGCTAGGCAGGAAATTCTTAGGAGGCTGATTTTTTCCCTATGCGACTCTTTGTAAGAAGTTAAGACAAAATTAACCCAGAAAGCCTGTTGAAATCAGTACCTACTTACCTACACTGGACTGCTGTGCCCAAATGAAAGTAGGATGAAGCAGGGCGAGAAGAAGCCAAGTCCCACTTTGCACAAAGCTCATCATGTCTAAATATCAGACATGAGACTCTTTGTGCAAGAGGAAAAAAGAAAAAGCAGCTCAAAGTAGCACCATCAGTTGTTCCCTGCCCTTCAGCACCGGGCCCGTCATAAAACTCAGCCACTGACGCTCCTCTGCTTTGGCCTTAAATAGGAAAAAGTTTGGCTTCCCTCACTTTCCAGCCCCTTTCTGAAATATGAGAGCAGCTCCCATCCCCTCGGCAGTAAAAGCAATGATTAATATTTCTTTTTTCCCTTATAGAGGACACAACCCACCGAGTTAGAAAACAGTACATCTGGAGCTTGTGTACGTCAGCCTATGCACATGTTTATAACATGCATTAGTCTTACATACATATTTGCATGACAAGAACACACAGGAATGTGCTTTGTGATCCTCTATAACAACTGTTTGTACATTTTTAAATTTCTCTCTGAAACAGTAAAAACAGCTTGAATTTGAAAAAGTGTTGGAGTCCCATTGTCGGTCATGGTGATTTTGTGAACTTTATCTTCCTAAAGGACTTGTATGTTGGGGATTTGCCAGAATCCACCCTAACTCAGTTTAAACAGGGAACTGTAGGAGACTTACTGAAGGAAAACCCTCTGTCTGCCCTTGAGCTCACCCACACACTCTGTGTTCTGGATGCTAGATTTCAGGCGATTGTTACAAAACTGTTTTTTGAGCTATGTTTGAACAGATCTTAAGAGATTATTATCTGTTACTGTTTCCCTTTCTCACAAATTTCTTTACCAAGTCTGCTTCCTTGTAAGATTTCCAGTTCACATGCTGTGTGGGGAAGCCAGAACAGACTACTAAAGAAAAATTAAAACTTTTCATGTCTTGTCTTTGTAAAAACTACGAGGGAAAATGTTTAGTGCATAGGACAGAAAAAATCCTAATTTCATCTCCATTAATACACAGATTACTACAAATCCATCTAGATTTAGTCTTTTCTGTGTTTCGGTTCTAAGTCCTCATCAGCAGGGCTTTGCTATGCATTTCTAGATCTTTCTGAGGATTAAATATCACTATACCTCTGCAGGAATTGTTAACCTTTTTATGACGCTAATGACCAATTAATATCTTGATACCTAACTTTCAGTCAAGTATTCCTTCATTTACCTTTAAACTCTATAATGTGCATTTCAAAGCCAACCTCCTAATCCAGGTCACATAGGTTTATTTGTCTAGTCTTAACTTCACGGAAGTGTGTTGTTCTTTCTGTGCATGTACACTTGAAATTCTTCCCCTCTTATACCATTTCATGGAAGTCATTTCTGTTCAAAACTTTCCTCCTTAGGAAAACCATTTCAATGAAAACTCTTTTTTGTTAATTTTATTTTTTTCTTATATATAAGAATAATGTTTAAATTTTGTTGTTTCATACAATTCATTGTTATAAACATGGATAATGCTGTGCCTGCCTGCTTATATGCCTGTTCAGAAGGAGGAGAGACTAAGATGTTCAAGGGGGAAAAGTGATGCCATTTGGTGGCAGGAAACAAGGAA